GGCTCTAAATAAACCTAAAGATCCCTGTGGGTATCTACTGACTTAGAATACTACATATTGACATTTAATATATTATTGTATATCTATGTTACATTTTTATATATTTTGTTAAAGTATCCCCATTACTTTTGTATCTGGTACTCTCCATACTAATATTGCTGCCACATATCTGGTACCTCTTGCTATAGAGAATTCCCAAGTTTGGAAACTCCCAAGTTCTGCAATTTCTAGTTTCAGATAGTTTGTAATTTATACTCATTAGAGAGAGCATGGTCATTGTAGATGGCAGGACTCAGAGGCAGGGCTCAAACTTGGGCTTTTCTGACTTTAAGAACAATTATTTTTTCTTATTTTTGTATAAATTGCTCTCCTGGTTCTGCTCTCTTCACTTAGCATCAGTTCATACTAATCTTCACAGGCTGATACACTGATACATCTCCTCCTTCTTCTTCTTTTTTTTTTTTTTTTTGGTGAGGGCAATTGGAGTTAAGTGAATTGACCATAGTCACACAGTTAGTGAGTGTTATGTGTCTGAGGCTGGATTTGAACTCAGGTCCTCCTGACTCCAGGGCCGTGCTCTATCCACTGCACCACCTGGCTGCCCTGACACATCTCCTTTTAGAGTAACTGTTCAGAAGGTAGCTCCTTACTCTTTCTTGTTAAGTAGTCACACATTCATGCAAACAGATGGCATACAAGAAGAAACATAACATAAATCAACATTCAGGTCAAGAGTGATGTTTACCAACTGCTACTTTCTTGTTTATTCAACAGAAAATACAATTAGCCTCAAATTGAAAAAGATACCAAAAATGTCATCTTTTCATGGCACAAAAGGGGGAGGGGGAAATCCACCTGTTCTATCAGTTAGCTGAATCCTTCTACTTGGATAAAAGGCTTTAAAACTCCTCCATTATCTGGGGTTGTACAGTATCACAGAGATGTGCTGCTCCTAAAGGAGGAGAAAGAACAGCCTCATCTGAGCTAGAATTCTTTCTTGCCAAAAAACTCACTCTACTGACCCCTTGCTGTTGTTTAGTGGACATGGGTTACGAAGTCTAGACAGTGGTAGAATTGGGGAGAATACACATTTGAATGCTATTTTGGCCTTGACCTCATAACTAGACAAATGAGTTTGAATGTGACGCAACCCACATTCCTAGTCTAAATAATTCCCATTCTTATCGCTGGCAGTGGAAGCATTTGAAGGAAAGGACACGTGGAATCTTGGATACCCACTGTTTCTATTAAGCCTATGCGATCAAAATGCACATCCATTTCTTTCCTTTTGTGAAGTCAAATCAAGCAGAAGTGGGTACAACAAAAGAGGAAGCAATCTTCAAAGAGAGACATTGAGAGAGAGGCAGGTGACAAATACACTCTATGGAGCCCTGCCTCGGGACAAGATTTTTTTTACTTCTTGCCAAAAGACATCACAAAGTCTGTCTGTGTGTGCCTGTGTTGTTTTTTTTTTTGTTGTTGTTGTTATTCATTTCAAAATTAATAACAATACATAGTGTATCTCTGAAAACAGAATGAAAAGAAAAATCTCCTAATCATAAAAACCACGCATTTAGCAGTAGCTAGGATTAAAGTTTAGCTAGTTATAGTATTTCCCAAGGTAATGGAGTAAACTTTTTTTTTTAATTTGTGTAAATCTGCCCCAGTCTACAATAGAGAACATAAAGTCATAATGGGTTTTATTTTTCTCCTTTACTCTCAGCAGGATGCTCGTTCTGGATAGTGAAGAGAACTACTCATCTGTATACTTCTAGATTTCGGAAACTATATTTTAGGTAAGCATTTGCTTAGAGTGGAGTTTTGTTATTTACTTGATATAACAAAACCCCACACAACAGATGGGAGAAGAGTTGCCTGCATGCTCTTGGCTCTCTCCCCAGTGCATCCCTTTTTTTTCGATTTACAATTCAACAACCATGTGTTAAAACATTAGGAGTACAAAGAAAAAGAAATAAAACTAATCCCTGCCCTAACGGAAAAGTTTCTCAGAGAATGTGGCTTATGAGCTAAACCTTAAATGAAGCTAGAAATTCTAAGAGGAATAAATGAAGAGCAAGGGCATTCTAGGCATCTGCAACATCCTGGGCAGTAGTACAGTGGTAGGAGATAGAATCCTAAATATATCAGCAGAGCTGGAAGGCAGAGTTTGTGAAAAGGAGTAATATGGAATAACCCTAGAAAATCAGACTGGAGTTGGATTCAGAAGGATTTTAAGCATCATTCAATCAACAAGCATTTATTAAGCAACTGTTTGCCAAGCACTCAGCTAAACACTAGTGAAAAGGGAAGGAAGGAAGGAAGGAAAGAAAAGGAAGGAAAAGAGGGAGGAAGGGAGGGAAAAAGAGACAGATGGACAAAGAAGGAAGGAAGGAAGGGAGGAAAGAAAGAGGAATATCATCTGTTATTAGAACATTCCATTCTAATGGGATGGGGGAAGACAAAACATGAGTGTGTGTGTGTGTGTGTGTGTGTGTGTGTGTATGTATGTACCAACATACATAATGTATCCACAATGAATCTAGGATAGGTCTGAAAGGGGAAGACCAGCATCTCAGGGAATGAGGGGTGACACAGCTTCATGTAGAAGGTGGCATTTAAAGAAAACTGGTGATTCTGAGAGTTGGAGGTGAGAAAGAAATATATGCCAGGCATAGGGGATAACCAGTGCAATGCAAAGGTGTGGAAACTAGAGACAAAACATTGTTTGGGAAGAATTGCAACTAGAACAGTATGGCTGCTAACAGAAAAGTAAAAGCGCATAATATGTAGAAAGAATGAAAAACAAAGGTGGGCAGCTAGGTGGTACAGTGGATAGAGTATTGGCCCTAAAGTCAGGAGGACCTGAGTTCAAATCCGGCCTCAGACCAAACACTTGACACTTACAAGCTGTGTGACCCTGGGCAAGTCACTTAACCCCAATTGCCTAAACAAAAAGAAAAGAAAAAAAAAAGGAGCTAAGGTGTAAAGAACATTAAATCTCCAACTTGATAGTATATATTTAATCTTGAAGGTAATAAGGAATCATTGGAGTTTATTGAGCAGGGGGTGACATGGTCAATCCTAAACTTTAGGAAAGTCTCTTTGGTGGCTATGAGTAGGCTAGATTGGAGAGGGAAATGAGGCTTGAGGTAGAGAAACAAAATAGGAAGCACAAAAGTCCAAGTACGAGCTGATTAGGGTCTGAACTACGGCAATACCTGTATGAATGGAGATAACAGGACAGACGTGAGAGACAACAGATGTGGAAATGATAGTATTTGGCAAATATTTAGACACATGGCAGGAACAGAATGGATTGAGGAGGACATGGCAGGCTACAGCTCTAAGACATAAGGAAATTCTAAAGGAATAGGGTAAGGTGTGTGTGTGTGTGTGTGTGTGTGTGTGTGTGTGTGTGTGAGACAGAGAGTTAGAGGGAGACAAAGAGGGAGACAGAGAGATTGAGAGACATGAGACAAGATGAGGAGTTCTATTTTGGATATAGATAAGTTTGAAATACCAAATGCCTATGGGAAGTTTTTTTTTTGCTAAAAGTCATTTCATAATGAGAGAGAGAGAGAGAGAGAGAGAGAGAGAGAGATTAGGGCTGGATAATAAAAATGGTTATTGAACCAGGGGATAAGGAGTGGTGGTGGTAGCACTAATGAGAGACAGCAAAGAGAGAAAAAGGCTTCAGTACACCCATGGTTAGTAGGTGTGACTCAGATAATAAATGAACCAAGGATACAAAGAAGATTTGTCAGACAGGTAAGAAAATCAGGAGAGAGCAGTGTCGAGGAAACCCAGAAAGGATCAGATTTCAGGAGGAGAGAGGAATCAACAGAAAGAGTTAAGAAGGATGAGGCGTAAGAAGAGGCATCAGATTTGGCAAAGTTCTTAAGCTGAGAAATGCATTTTATCCTAAAGTCAATAGTGAACCACCAAATATTGTCAAATAACAGAAACAGTCATCCTGGCACCTGATGAGGATTATTTTGCCAGCTATGTATAGGATTGACTACTAGAGAAAGGAGAGGACAGCTTTTGGCCTGTTGGTTCAATTAGAGTGGTGCTACACACAATCAGGTGAGAAGAGATGAAGGTTAGCACTGCAGGAGGTGCACAGTCTGTAGAGACCACTGAGGTCATCTGATAAACCCAAGTGACTTGCCAAAGGATTTTGTAAAATCTGCCAAGCATTTTTCCTTATTAAGAATTCTTAATTCTTCTGTCTTCTGGGGGGAAAACTAGACAGAAGATTTTGCCAATCATCAGGGGAAACAAAGTTATAGTGCTATTTTCAGTACTCATATTTTATCTGCTTCTTGGTATAGAAACCCTTTACAAACAAAAACAGTATCACAGACATAATAGGGCACACAAGAGAAAAGGATGTTTTTCTAAAATTTAGAATCCTCTCCCACAGCCATTCAGGCTGAGTTTCTGGCAGAATGAATAAACTAATCTTCAAATTCATGAGGCAGATAATTTAGTTATTTGTTCTATTTCCAAAGCCAGCTTAGCTTTACAAAATGAAGGGAATGGACAGCAAAGTGTAGTATAAAGAAAACTCGGTTTCTAGGCTTACCTCTGCTCAGAACTAGTCAGGTGTCATAGAAAGTCATTTAGCCTCTATGGGTCTCAGTTTCCTGAACTGAAAAATGAGGGGTTTGAGCTATATTAAATATTCTCTGAAGTCCCTTTTAGCTCAATGATTCCATGGTTAATCTTGAAAACAAATAAGTCAATCCCATTCCTTCTAAATGATTGACCTGTAATATAGGTACTTTGTATGAATTACAAAAGCTGAGTGTCCTGATGGATGTCTTGTAAGCTCCATTAAAGTAGAGACTGTGTCATATATAGATATGTATAGATATGACTCTGCTGCTACCCACAACAGATGGCAATGGTACCTTACACCCAACTGATGATCAATCACTATTTGTTTAGTTAGAATGGTATAGATTGAATTTCAGATACTAAGAATATAGCTCTACCTCAATCTGTGTGTTGTTGTCATGTCCATCATCGAGGAGCAGATCTGCAAAGCCTCTCGGTTCCGATGAATCTTGACCCATACTCGCTCGGTTGGTGTCAATTGACTTGAGAGGCTCTGAGTTTCTTTTCCACCTGTGGCTGTATACATGTGAGTCTATGTCTGCCTCCTCTTCTCCATGAGAAAAGCCATGGACAACTTCATAAAGCACATCTGTTTGGGGGGGGAAAAGGTTGTTTTCTGTTAACAAAGAATTCATAATCGTCGTGTGGGAGAAATTGATCAAAACAACCAAAAGCTTTTTTAGGTGCCATGTGGTAGGCATTAGCTAAGGAGGAAATACACTGCTCCAAATGAAATATCTTCTTTTTGTTCACCACGAAAGATAGAAATCCATCTTCTAAAAGTAAAACAGTTTTACAATGATTATTCTTTGTACTTTTGTAATGTTATCTATGTGGAATAATATTAATACTAACAATAATAATTTAAAATATTAATCATTAGCATTTACCTAGCACTGACTATATGCCAGGTGCCATCCTAGGCACTCTTTAATTATTATCTTATTTGATCTTCACAACAACCCTGAGAGGTAGGTGCTATTATTAGCCCCTTTTTTATAGATGAAGAAAATGAAGGAAACAAATATTAAGTGTCTTGCCTAAGGTCACACAACTAGGAAGGGAATTTAAAATCAAATTCTCCTGATTCCACATCTGACACTCCATTAGTGGACCACCTAGCTGCCCCAGTCATGGGTATAGAAGTCAATGACCAGAGAGTCCCTAAAATAGTTCACATTCATAATGCAATATATTGTTCCCTTCCCCCAATACTTGGTAAATAGCTATCCTCTTCTCTTAGTCCCAGGAAAATAAACAAGAACTCGTAAAACCAGAAAAATTCAACTAAATAATGTTTGATTCACTGGAAAACAGAATCCTTACAATATTTGCTTACACGTCCCATTTTATGTCTGTGAGTTGTAATGAAAGACAATGAATTTTAAAAAAAAGATGCATTTGGATGAAATTATACATGTCATCACTCTAGCATTAATTTGAGAATTTATCTCATATATTCTAACTTGATTCCCTGTCTGCCTAAGCCAGCGAAACACTTCTGAGACGCTCCAGCAACGTGCAAGCTGCCCCCTTTTTTGTCATGTTACCTAGGAGTTCTATCAGAACAGTGAAGTATGACAGTGATAAGCACCTATACAGAAATGGACCAGAAGGCAAGAAGATCAATCATAATGGCATTTCAAAGCCATCAGTGGAGACTGGCCCTGCTGACCTGGTTCATCTTGTACAACAGGAGGGAAAATTAGATTCAATCACTGCTCCCAGTCTTTCATTTCAATAGGTCAGGGTATGCAGTTTCTTGTCGAGAGGGACAAGCTCCCTCTCCCCAGTGAAGTCCTCTTCACCGTAGCAAAATATGATTTGACAGGCTTTACAACTGGTGGGTTGTAGGATCAAAAAGGGCTAAGAGAAGAGTGATTTAATTACAGCTGTGATTTTCCCCTAAGGCAAAAACATTCTCAGAGATCAAAATGTGTTTAATACAGTCTATAATATCATTAGAATTGCTGTTTGAAGCCCCATTAATCAATCAAAGCCTACATTCATGGTCACAGGCGTAATGGCTCTCATTTTCTCCTTTTGGGAGAGGAAAGTGCTAACGGTGTCCCTCCTTCTGCCTGAAGACACAATATTCTCTCATTCTCCAGGAAATCAAATGGAAGTCCGGCTGCTGGGTGTTCTGGTGATCACAGCAGAAGGAACAAAAGCACCCTGGCAAAGCAATCCTAGCGAAGTCTTTGAAATGACCGGGCCACATTATTGGAGAAAGACCCATTTGAAGCTGCTTGTTTGTTCATCTATCAAGTAAATGGTTATTTATTTGGCAAACCTTTATCTAGCCAGGTAGGCCATTAATACCAGGTGAGCGGTCTTGTCTGCATTAGGCTATACAGAGGATACAAAGAAAACAGCAAATCATCATGGCCACCTCGTATCTTTTAATGAGATTAGTGAGGGAAATGGAGCAGGTAGGTGGTACACTGAATATAATTTGGGGTCTGTAGTTAGAAGTACTTGAGTTCAAATCCAGCTTCAGACACTTACTAGCTGTGTGACCATAGGCTTAACCTTGTTTGCCTCAATTTCCCCATCTGTCAAATTAGCTGGAAAAGGAAATGGCAAACCACTCCACTACTTTTACCAAGAAAACCCCAAAGGACTTAACGGAAATGATTGAACAACAAAACAAGATCAATAGAAAACATCTGGAGTTCAAAGATAAGAGCATTACAAATCAGTTCTAAGAGCAGGGCTATAAATGGCATGGGATCAATGGAGCTTTGACCCAGGGCATTTACATTTTAGGTAGGGTGGGGCAAATTCCTTCTTTGTGATAACTACCATTCCCAGACTTCTCCATCTAGACCCTGTACTGTCATAGGTTATAATCATTCCCTGGGTCACCACCTCTAGGGTTCCACTGCAATGACAACCTTGTCCCAAGTCTTACTTCCTCCCCGCTCCCCTTTTGTGAAATGGTATAGAAAAAGATGGGGGAATTATTCCCTAAGAGACTAGTCACCACAGAGAAGAATACATAACCTATATCTCAGTAAAGAAGGAATGTCTCGGGGGCAGCTAGGTGGTGTAGTGGATAGAGCACCAGCCCTGAAGTCAGGAGGACCTGAGTTCCGGACTCAGACCAAACACTTGACACTTACTAGCTGTGTGACCCCGGGCAAGTCACTTAACCCCAATTGCCTAAAAACAAACCAAAAAAAAAAAAAAAGATGGAATGTCTCATTGCTGCACACTGAATTCTCTGTGTCTTTCTCAAAAAAAAAAAAAAAACAACACACATCTAAATTCACCTTTACCAAATAATTAGCTGTCAGAGACAGCTCTACCAGTGAATGAGCTCCTGCTCATAATTCCTCCTTGTGAGCTAATTACAAATCTGTAAAATCCTCCCTTCTACATAAACTTGTGAGATGGTAACAAGTAATATGAGAGGCTGCCTTGAAGAATGCAGACGAGTGTAGCACACATAACAGATCAGATCTTTGGTGTGTTTGCCATATACAACAGAAATCATTCACAATGGACGTCAAATATTCGATAATCCATTTGTTTTCTTATTTGATAACAGATCAGAGGAACTGCCAGAGTCTTTCAAAATACATTTCTCCTCTCCATATTGTTAGTGATTATATGTATATATACCCAGGTATACATATAATATATGATCACTGTATATGAATGCATATGTATGTGTATGTTAACACAGACATGGATGTGTTTAAAAGTTATAATAGTGTACATTTGTATATCTACATATGTTTATACCTATATGTTCAATTTATTTATGTGTGTATATATTTAGTTCTAGATATCTAACCTATGGATTTCTGGATGTAGATATATACACAGAGATATCTATAGGTAGATACATAGGTAGATAAATCAATAGGTATAGATATGTACACACTAGATATCTATAGGTAGATATCTATATCTATGTATAGCTATGACGACTATAACGATACATAAATATAGATACATATAAACACACCTATAGGCAATTAGGTGGTGCAGTAGGTAGACTGCTGCACCTGGAGCCAGGAAGACCTGAGTTCAAATCCAGCATCAGACACTTACTAGCTGTATGACCCTGGTTGTGTCACTTAACCTCTGTGTACTCTAACTTCCTCCTCTATAAAATGGAGATAATGAATGCACCTACCTCCCAGAGTTGTTATGAGGATAAAACTAGATAAATTAGATATTTGTAGAGCATTTTGCATAGAATACACACATGTGTATATAAGAATATGCAACTGCCTATAACTATATATAACGTAGATAATTTTTACAGTGCTTTAAAATGAACAAAGTGCTTTACGTATAGTGCCTCATTTGAATCTTATGCCAACTCTATATGGTAGTTGCTACTATTATCCTTATTTTACCGAAGAGGAAATGGAGGTTCCAAGAGGTTACGGGGTATGTGCAGTGTTGAACAGTGAGTGTCTGAGCAGGGATTTCGGACCCAGGCCTTCTTGACTTCAAATCTGCCCCTTTCTACTCACTAGGATTCCATCGTCCATGGCTCCTTGAGGCACGTTTGGCATGTCCCCCATATTATTTCAGGGGAAATAATACGTATTATTTCCCCGTATTATAAAGGGGAAAAAAGCTGCATTTAAAGAAGTATGAGCTTGGAGCAGAATGGGATTCTTATGTCTGTAATTTGAAAAAAAAAACAAAAACAAAAACAAAAACAAAAAAGCATGAACAAAAACATTCTCTGCCTTCTCACTCCAAAGTCCTGCTTTTCAGAAAGAAGAAACTTGATGTGATGTTTGGAGATGCTGAAACCTGAACATTCAAGTCCTTTCCTTGTCATCATTCCTCATTGAATTTTGAATTCAGATCCAAGAAATCATTTTGACAAACCCTCTCATACCACAGGAGAAAGCAGAAACCCAGAGGGTTCAAGCCTGAGCTTACCAAACAGTCTAGTGATAGCAACTAGACTTGAAATCAGGTCTACTGCCACCCTGCCTTCATTTTTTCAACTAAACCCTGATTTCTTTCTAGCTCAGGGTTAAAAAAAACAACCTTATTGAACTTTTCTGTCATGTTTTTAGTAGTTTAACTGAGTGCTAGTTGAGGGGGAAGAAGACTGTTGAGCAGTTGTAGTATTAAATAAATTTACATGGATTGAACTAATATCAGAAGTTGGCAATTAATATTGAAACAATTAGATGATGAAAAGGTCTCACTTCCGCTTTGTTGAATGTAAATGTAAGATAAAGCATTAGTCCTTTGCTTAGATTATGGGTAAATTGATGCTTGGGTAAGACATATAGCAAAAAAAAAGTCTGTATTAAATCTATAATAAATTCTACATTATCTAGAAACCTCTCTGAACATGTCCTTCCGGATAACTGAGTTTTCCAGTGAAAAGTAAGTGATGACAGAGAGAGTAAAATGAGAGAGAGAGAGAGATAGACAGACATCTATGTGTGTGTATATATATGTGTGTGTGTACGTATATATGTATATATGTTATATACATGGAGAAGGATTATGTGTCTGTATTTGAGAAGTTTGTAGTCTTCTACTTTGCTATCACACCATCTTTATTACAGTGTTCAACATTCTTGCTGATGCAAAATTCAG